GGAGGAGGAATTACTCAGGTGCGAGGCCCTGCTGGGCTCTGCGTGGCTGGGGAGAGGGTGTAAACCCATGGGAGAGTGGGGACACCCATGAGATCATGGCTCAGAGTCACTGCTGATAGCGGGGACATGGCAAGCGGTGCTGAGGCACCCGGTGGTGCCCCCCAGTGTGATTAACAGCCCCGTGAGTCACTGCTTTCTTCCCAGCTCTCCCCCCCCGAACAATCCCCACTTGTTCCGGCAAATACCACCCGCCAGGCACGGGGCCTGGAGCGGGCACGTCGCCTTCCCCCCGGTTCCCATCCCAATGGAGGGTGAAGACCAAGCGCCTTCTTTCCTTTCTCTCCCTAGACATGAAAGCACAACGAGTCTGCGTGACCAAACTGGTTTGTCAGCTGCTCTGGTATTCGCAGGGAAAAGTTTGGCCAAGCCCTGTGATTTCCCCGGTTTTCCCCAAGTGCTTTGGGTCGCATTCAGACGGATTTGGTGATGCAAGAGCTGTGGCTGGGTGGTGCAGCCTGGGGTGCCAGGGCAAAGCTGCGAGCTGGTTTCAAATGCAGGGGTGAATTGTAGTAATTGCTAATGAGATATTCCTGTATTTAACACCCAAGCAAGCAGAGCGATCTGCCAGCCCCACAGGCAGGTAACAGCAAGCCCAGTGAATTTTGTGGCATTTGTTTCCTTTCAAGTGATGCAGTATTTATGGTTCCTGTCCCGTACCATCCCTCCTGTCCAGGCAGACGGGGAGGCAGGGAGCTAGCTCAGGTTCAGCATCCTGAAGGTCTGGGTTAACTGAAACCAGGAGGAGTTTTAGTTAGACCTGCTGCAGTCCTGGCCTGCTGCCCCTGCTTCTCAGCTCCAGAAAATCAAGTGTGAGAAGGGAAGGATCTTAAAAGACGCTGGGCACAGTATTTCCCCAGCTCCACATTTTCAGTGCCAGGTAGATAATTTCCAGCTAAAATAGATTTTTCAGGAGGGGTAGGTAGGTGGAAGAAGAGATTCCTTCAGGCCAGGATTAGGCATAGTGGGGGAGCATCCCAGCAATGAGACAAGATACGGGGTTTTAATCAGCCTCCGTCATTAACATACAGAATTAGCTGATGTTTCACTGTCTTTTAAACCAGAGGACAACCAAGCTCTGTACTTGCTATCTCCCTTCTTGTGTCTCTCTATATAATATTTATATAGATACTTATGCACACACTTAAACAAAAGAGGCACAAGGGCTCTGCCTAAGGGTTTGTGACTGCAGGCAGGGACGGGGCTTGGGAGAGTGGAAATAAATGAACATTTTTAAGCACCTTGACATCTTCTGAGGGCAGGGCTCTGGCAGGCAGCGACCCGATGGGCAGGAGGAGCTGCACTCCTTCTGCGGCTGTGCCAAAACGTGCTTGTCCCAGGGATCAGCTCTCCTTGTGTCTGTGCTGTGGGGGGAAACTGAGGCTGAAAAGCAGGAGCTGCAGCTTCTCCTGTGTCCCTCTCGGCTGTGAAATGATGAGGGATGGAGCCTGGGGCTGCTGGGCACTGGGGCCCAGGACCCACCTCGGCTGGCTCTCCAGGCTGCTGTCATCTCCTGCTTAAAACCAAGAAGACCTTGGAGGTGCAGCTTGCAGCCGGCATCCTCTGTAACCATGGCACAAAATGCCTGCCTGCCCTTCAGCAGAACGGGATTGCTTCCCTCCGCTGCCGGGCTATGGAAGGGAGAGATGGGGTTTGTGCCCAGGCAGGGCAGAAGGGACCACGGTCAACGGGAGCCCAGTGTGAGGCTTCTCTGATACTGAACTGGTGGAAAGTTGCCAGGAGTGTCTGGAGGGGCGGGCAGGCGGGACCGGAGCCTGCTGCCTCTGCACTCTTGTTGTCCCAGTTTCCAGGGAGGGAGATCTAATTGTATTTGCTGTTGGCCGTCTTCCACCTGGGATGCCTGTGGTCGAGGGCAAGGTGTTTCCTTGGCTTTAGCTCTCACAGAGATGTTTCCAGGGTTGTAACCAGCTCCCCATCAGAGCCCTGAGATGGGAAGCTCCCCCCCGTCTCCCCTAAACCGTCCTCCCGCTGTCCCTGCTGCAGCCCTGAAGGCTTTTCTGCCTCGGCACTGCTTCCCGGGCAGCCGGACCTTTCCTCTTCTCCCTTCCTTGTGTGGAGGGGGAGCCGGGCATATTTCATATTAATGCTCGGCTCTTGGTTTCCTGCTGTTTTTCTTTTCCCATTGTATGGAAAAGAGCATTTCCCCATCTGGGGCAGGAGGGAGGGGGTTTTCCCAGAACGGCCAGGCTTTGCATTGCAGCCTCTGGAGAGGTTTAACAGGCTGGTGCCAGCTTCCACCCAGCCCTTCCAGAGCCTGGCTGGTGTCCGGGGGGTGTGCAGGGCACGGGCAGTGCTGGAGGGGGTCTTGAGCATGGGTTTGGGTGCAGGATGCTGTGGCCTGGGGCTCTTGGGTTCCCTGGTCCAGGGGACTTGCTACACTCTGCTGTCTAATACACACCTCGCACAGGGCAGGGTCGGCACATCCCTCTCCTGTGGCTCTGTATTTCCAGGACTAACATCACCTGGAGCTCACCATAACCACGTCTAGAAATGTTGTAACATTTCTCCTGGTGGTTTTGCAGCCCAAGAGCTGGTGCCTGTGTGCGAGAGCCTCAGCGTGACGCAGGTCAGAAAAGACAGGGAAAGTGCCGCTTTGGTTGGACTTCAGAAGCTGAAGGAGGTCTGGGCAGCAATAACAAAGTCACTGGCCTGTGTACGTTTTGGTGGCCTTCAAGAGCAGCTGCTGGCATAGCTGCTGCTTTTTTGCCATGCACCCTGACTTGTCCAGATGGGGTGTCAAACATTCGTGAGATCACAGTGGGGAAAAAGTATTTTCATGCTTTAAGAATGGGATTGTGTTAGGTTACAGGAGAGGAAACAGCTTTGAGTTGTTAGTTTTAGAAGCTAAGTGAAAGCAAAATCACAGTAAGAAAGGTTTAGACTGTGCCATGTTTTGAGTCCCAGGACTTTCTGTCTGGGTGCTTTGTATCTCACATTTATCTGCAGTGATGTTAGCACTGCGTCCATATATGTAGCTGGTGATTTTCTACTTCTGGAGGAGAACGTTATAAAAACACAATGAGAAAGATGGCCAGATACCTTCTCCTCTCCGGACTGCTCTCTCAGGGCTACCAAACCTCCTTGCCGCCCTGTCCTTGTGAGGCTCCCCAGTCCCTGTAATCCTCTTCTCTGGCGTGAGCATCCTGAGTCACTGCTGTATTTTGCCTCCTGGTACCCACGTAAAGGGAGGAGTTATCCCCGTATGGCTGGGGAGATGGCATGTCCAGGCTCCACGGTCCGTCCCTGGGCAGAGATGTTGCGGCTTTGCCTGGTGGACAAACAGATGCTCTCTCCTGCCAGCACGGCTCTTACTCACATGTGATTTATTCTGGCTCACCAGGACCGGGTGTGCCGTGTCTGGGTGACTCTGGCCACGCTCGGGCTTTTCCTGCTGCAGCCTGATGCTGCATCAAGATGAGCTGAGGTGGGCAGCTGGTAAATGTGTTTGGTGGGAAATGGGGCCAAATTTTCTGGATGGGGCTGGATGAAGAGCATCCAGTCCTTGCTGTGCTGCAGCCAGAGGGGGATCCTCCATGTAGAAGGGGTGTAAAGGAGGAGATCGAGTCGTTGGATGGAAGAGATGAGGTTGGGGAAAGAGGTAAGGAGGGCTTCCCACGAGGCGAGCAGCAGGCAGAGAGCATGTGGAAGGTGCCTGCCCTGCCTGCGGAGGCAGGGCGTGGAGGATGACGTGTTTGGGGATGACGTATTTGGGGATGACGTGAAGATGACTGTTAATGGCGAGCAGAGGGTTTGGGCAGGAAGAGAAGCGGGAGAGGCCCTGGTGCACCCTGTGTTGCCATATCCAGAAGCTGTTCCCGCTCCCTGCCAGATGGCTGGCAAAGCGCGGCCGGCTCGGTGCTGCCCGCGCCCGGGAGAGATGCTGCCGCCTCCGCAGGGGCACGGTGGGGGATTGAATCAGGAGTGCAGGTTAACACCAACCCCCTTCTCCCTGCCCGCTCACCCATCCATAACCCCTGGATGAGCCAGGAGAGAAGAGGTTTTAAAAGCCCAAGGCTCTGCAGTGGGCAGGAGCCGGGCTGTCCCGGGACAGTCCATAGTGGTCCTGGTGCTCAGCCCCCTTCTCCTTTGGGGTGTGGGAAATGAAGCAGCCGCTTTCACTTTTTATTCCTCATTGCTTTAACTCTGATTCTGCTGCACTAACAGGGTGCTGAGCGGGGGTTTTACCTCCTGCAGACATCCCTGGTAG